CAGGAATCTCTGCATTTGTAACAATCTCTGGCTGCAAAGGAGGGTGGCAGGCAAAGCAACTGTATCATAACCAAAATGCTGAGTTCTATTATCTGCTGCACCACAAGCACACACACACACTGCATCAACGGCCTCAATTCATAACAGCAATCACAGTGATGATACAGAAAAAGCATGCATTACTCACTGGGTTTTATTCTTTAGCTTCTTCAGCATGTAATTCTTTACGCTTTACAAGGTAGTAGGTATGAAATGAAACATTTTCCCTTTATTCCACTGATGCTGCTGTTTGAATACCATTAGATACCAAGGACAATAGGCAGGATCAGCTCGAACATTAAGAGCAAATATTTAATGGAAGACTGGTTACCCCCGTCTCTCCCTTTCACATCTCTGCCTCATGTATCCAGGCACGGGTGGTACTGGCTCCCTTGAGAGGCTGTAGCCAGCAGCTGAGGCACAAACTAAAACATGGCATGGATGTCAAGGAGCTGATGTCACACAAACAAGTATTTCTCTGACAAAAACAGCCATTCCATTAGGCAAGTCCTACAAATCGATAGGAATTGTTCAGCCCAACGTGCTCCGTTACACAATGCACTGCAGCCCTGGAGGGGGGGGGCACCAGCTCAGGATCTGTCCGTGTAAATAACCAGGGAATATAACAACTAAGTTAGAACACAGCCCAGCAGGCATCAGGCTCTGTACCAGGGCATCAGCAGGGCTGCTGCTCACAAGCACAGATGAGAAAATACACAGCTACACCTTTTGGAAAGAACCTTCCCCAACAGCAATTCCAAAACAATATCTGGTCTACTGAAAAAGTAAAAATATTTTTAAATACAAAAGACTGGCCTAAAAGTCTGCCATCTTTTATCAGGAAACATTGTGATAAAGCCTCCAGGTCAGCAGATGACAGGACACACCTCTGACAGGTCACTTTCAGTATCTCGGATGAGATGCCAGATGTGTTAGAAATCCAGCCCTGACTGTGGGATTGGGTAACTGTGCTGGAAGGTAAAAGGTACCTACAAGGTTTATACAACAGCAGCCAGTCATTTATAGTGGGAGCTGTAAGTGCAACAAATCAGGAACAAAATAATACAGAGACAACAGAAGTTCAGATGCCGAAGATTCTGTGAATTCTACCTTGCAGAGAGCATCACCTCAAGATAAGGTGGGTGCTTCAAGCACAAAAAGAACTTTTCTTAAGGACTGCAATTTTAAATATTAATCACATGGCTTATTCCAGTAATGGATTATTTGCATTTATTTCAAGCTTTGCTGGCAATACAATCTCAAAATTGTATCCATTCCATGAAGGTCCAGGAGAGCTAGCAATTATATTACCAGATTTCAACATAAATGCAAACTATAACAGGCAATAATATGTATTTCTGCACTCATCTTCCAAAGAATTATTATTTTGGGGGAGCTAGAAAGAAAAACTTCTACAGAAATGCACTGCAAAACCTTCGCAATTCAGAAGATCACATACTACTAGAAATAGTCACTCCATGAGCTCACATGAACAAGTCTGAGCAATATATTGCAAAGGAAATTATCTAGCTATTCAATAGTTTTGTTTAAAAATTCCATTTCAGGCTGTCTGCAGTTCTGTAGCAAACTAGAATTCCACACTTAAGAGATTGCTAATTTAAATAGAGACCCATTTTGGACAGAGTTAACTATTTGTCTCTGGAAATAACTTGAGGCAAACTCAGATGCTCCTTTATAGTACAAACATGATGCTCTACATCATGTTATATATGTAAACATCATATTCTCATTTTTCAAAAGGATTTCTATGAATGTAACTACAGTGATAAAGCCACACAACAATTGGAAATGTACTAAATATTTTCTGAACAACGGGTAATATTTTAGTCCTGTCAAAACAGTCTATTTAAAGAAACCGTATTACCACTTCCAGTAACATTTCCATACAGTCTAAGTGCAATGCAGATAGTTGTTGTATGCCTATGTTAATAACTAGTTAGCTTGTGCTGGATTAGCACCAAAACAATTTGAAAATAGTTACAAATAGGCCCCAACACCACATTTCCAGGAAGGCCCCATGTATGCAAAGAGACAATATGCATTTAATTCACTGAATTACAAGCAACCTGTGCACAAATCACTAACAGAGCACATCCTACTAAACAGGCTTTTTAAGCAAAGTATGATCCAACATGACCTGCAAAACCATGTAGGGAGGAATACCCTACAGACAGAATAACCAGGTCATCTGAGCCACATTAAGATATGAGCTTCTGCAGCTCATCTCATGGTTTCAGATAACTAAAACATCTAACAAATTAACACACAACTTCTGTACAAAAATAGCTGGAATTTAATGAGATCATTAAATTGTAGCAAACTTTTATGTCCCACTATTTGCAGAGCAGCCTTCTCTCTCCTCTAGTTATTGTACTTTCCTTCATAGTATTTTGCAGTAGTTTGTGTTGTGTTTTCACAAATAAGGGCAAATAATTCTATATGGGACTAGCACCAGTGTAGGTTGGTACAAGACAGGTATTTCCTCCTTTCCTCTTTAACCAGCCACAGGGAATGGAAGTAGAGCTAGAGTCACCTGGTTCTTTCAGTTCTTTTATTGGAAAGCAGTGTGGCACAAACACCCATACGAGTTCACTCCCTACAATGTCATCCAACAATTTAGAAGCAAGATAGAAAAAGCAAACAGTTTTCAGCATGTTGTGAAATAGCCCCAAGTCCCATAGTGATGGGAGACTTGGCTGTTCCACTTTATTTGCAGAAGTAAAGGTGGGGAGTGACCCCAAAGTTAGAAATTGAAATAAAAATCAATCATTCCTTCTTCATGGAAACAGCTACTTCACAGAACACTGAGGACTTAGGATGGAATATTAGCATTTATATTTACCCTTGGTAGATGACAAGCATTCCAAGGCTAGCTAATCCCCAAGTGCATCATCACTCTCTCCTACTGGAACTCACAAAAACCATAGGCATACAAGACACTGAACTATCCAAATATCCAAAAAGCACCATTACCAAAATAAGATTTGGGAAAAGTCACAAGATCCAGGTAAAACCAGAACTGTTACTGTTGCTAACAATATTTTCTGTAGCTACAGAAGTTCATTTTTTGCCTGCTGATACAAACCAAACACCTTTCCAGGGAAGAGCTTAGGACATAACACCTTCTATACCTCAAGCCCCAGAATAAATACACATCAAGAACATGTTTAAACCTACAGAACCAAGACCACTCTTTACTGAATGATCATGAAAATTGAGCCTTATAATATTTTCTCATGAACATTTTTAACCTTTCAATCTAACCTGCAAAGTGACAGCACATAAAACCCACACGTTTTCAATATAAAATACAACTACTCAGTCTTCACTTTGAATCTTAACTTATGGACAGGCAAGTACAGAAAATCAGTCTCATTTGCTAGTACATTCAGTAAAAGTACTGTACACCGTGTGACATAATAAGCTGGACTGGTTGCCCATTTCCTTGTTGAAAATTCAGCAAAATTAGTAAGAAACCCACATGTTTAGCCAGTGTAGATCCTGATCAAATCAGCAGTCCTCTAGTAGTATGCATACTTATTTTTATCAGCCTTTTATCTGCTTTTGTACCTTCCAAAGAGCAAAGATCCTTCAATTCTTCAGTTAGCTTTTACTAATACTACTGTGACTAACCAAGCATCATCTGGCAATTCTGTCACCTTATTATTCACATTCCTTTCCTTAACATTTACAGAGATACCAGCTAATGTACTGATGACACCTCTCCATAATGAAAAGTGCCTATGCAGCTATTTAACCCTTTTATCCCTGTGCATTTTAAGTTATTGAAACATAGGTAAACCATATCAATCATGTATGCTTCTTCTGGAGACTTTATCTACCTTTCACGGGATTGTTAGAGATTCATAACTTTTTAATAAGAAAAAGGCTGTATCTCCCTCTTCTTCAGTATATCACTTCTTTTCCCTAAAGGTTCAGAAACCAGAAGCACCACAAAAGCCAAGGACCACATTCAAGTGTGTATCCAAAATCCCAACCTTTTTTTCTCAAAACATATCAACTACTGGAAACCAGTTTTAACCCTCAAACTTCAAAACAGTCCTGCAGTGTTGTTATACAATTTCTCTGTTGATAAAATATCAAACATTTTACATTCCAGTTAGAAGCCACAAAACAAATATAAGCGTACATAGAATTAGCTTATGAAAATGTGCCTATATACTTTTTTCCATGAGACTGAAAATATTAAGTCAAGATTTGATAACATTTTGGTACTCACTGTCTTCTCCTGGACAAGGCATGCCGGGTTTCTCTGGAGTACTTGGGAAAACTAAAACAGAAACATTAGATTTATAAGTGAAGAGATTTTCAGTAGTACTTTTTCCACCATTCTTGAATATATTTACATAAAGACAGTTTCCAGAAGCCTTTAAATAACTACATGAGAGAAAGGACAAATAAAAATTTGAGTCCATATTGGCAAGATCCTATAGTGGACTGTGGCACTAACAAATCTGTGCCACTTAGAACACAAAGCCCCCTCAAAAGTAGTTTCAGTTTGGGCTCCACCCCCAAGAGAACTCTTCCTTCTTGCAACATCAAACTTTGGAGCACCATTTACATAAAGGATGTTACTTGACAGGCAACAAGGTTGTTCCATTCTCACATTTAAGCTGTTGTTATGATTATCAACAAATGCCTACAGGTTCACGAGCTGTGCAATACTTGCCATGAATAATCAGCCCTTCATCTCTGTTTTGACAATACAAACGAAAAGCTTCTTCCAGCTCCATCTGAGATGAGATGGTACATGGGTCACCTAAAAAAAATAAATACAATGGTACAGTTATGACTGAAAAATCAAGTGGAGAATTTCAATTTGGCAGTAAGAAATGTACCAGCCTTCAGAATTGCTTTCTTTCAGCCATTTGATACTAAGCTAACATTTTCAAAACCAAAATATATAAATACCATTAGTTTTTCTTCTGATTTTATCACAGTCAAGTAGGTAGAAACACACAATGTTGGTTTGCAAGAGGACAACAAAATACAAAAGTGTATGGTATGCTTACAGATCTTATACATGGCAGGATAAAAGAAAAAAATCTAGAAACCTAAAAATTTATGTTTAATTGAAAATTAATTTACTCTTTGTAAAAAGATCCATACATAAATACCTGTCTGTTAGACAGAAATACTCTTAACAGCCCATGGTAACCTCTAGATCAGTATTCTCTACACTTTTTTGACAGCACATCCCATCATTAGCTTATTGCTTAGCACAAATCCCCAACATGTGTATTTATAATCATAATAATTTACTATCATTATAATAATATATATTACCAAAACAGATAAAATTTTTAAAGGGTATTTTAAAAAAAAAAATTAATGGTACAAAAACTTACCTCAAAATAACTAAAAACTTAAAATATCCAACATGAAAGATAAAAGAACTATCCGAACTACAGATCAACAATTCATATTCCTTGCATGTTTATGGGACTTCATTACAAGTGTTACTCATAGTTTCAGGCAGTTTGGATCTTGCCAAAACTGGCAAAACATTAAAAAGGCCCAGAAGAGAACTCATTTTCTTCAGCTCTTGGGAAGGTTTTCTTAATCCGTTAAGCCATCGGCAATTGTTTGCTTTAAGTCAGTTCAAGTAGAACATCTGTTTGTGCCATTGGTCAAAGGAATTCCAAGTACATGTGGCATCCAAGAGGCAACACTCACTCATGGGCTGAAATGGGATAACCCAACAAATCTGGGGGGACTGAAGTCAGCTGAAATAATAGATTGGTTGAAACTTCACAAGTTATAATCAGGAGTTGGAAAAAGGGTTCTACAGGTATGTATTTAACCAAGACTAAAAGAAAATGTTTATTTGAACTGCAGCTAAGAAATTTGTTGTTTTAATTTAAGTAAACTTTAAAGAGCCAATGTCACAGATATGCAAGCCAAGAAACAGTTGACAGGAATCATGTCTTGAAACCCTCCAACTCATGATATTCTCTTCTTTCCTACAATAATCTTACTTTTATCAGTAACCATGCAGGTCAAATAGCTAAGCACATGCAAGTAAGTTACTCTCCGTGCTCTTCC